CTTCACGGCCGCTCGCCTGGGCGTGGGATGCCACTCTCCAAGTGACACCGTTGTCCTTGCCCAGGCCGGGCTGGGGGCTGCTTTTGTGGCGGGGCGGGGGAGTTGCATTTTTTTCCCCGCTTTCCTCCCTGCTGTCGTCTTTGCTGCACCCTGATCGCCTTTACCCGCATCTCTGTAACTGCACAGGGGCTGAGACCCCCCAAACTCAGCTCACCTAGGTAGGATCCACCTTGGGGCAGCCCCCGGGGAGGGCTTTGCAGCTGGCAACTGCAGAGTGGGGGGAGTTAATCCCAGTGGGCGACTGAGACCCCCCCGGAGCGGAGCATCCTGGAGACCCCCCCTCCTTGTGCCCCCAGGACGTCCCCCCGGGGCCCCGGCGTCCGGCGAGGGGCGGCGCCGGGTCCGGGAGAGCGACGGGAGCCGCCTGAGCACGGACCTGGGGGGCGGCAGCCTGGCCATCGACACGCTGCCCCCCAACGGCACCCGCGTCGTGGTGAGCGACCGCGGGCGGCTTTCCTAGGAATAGGCGGCATCTCCCAGGAATCCCGGAGCAGCCGGGGCCGGAGGGGCTCTGCTTGGAGCTGGGTTTGCACAAGGAGAGTTGGATACTGGGCTATAATGTGGGTACAGGAAGGAGGGTTTTTCACATCAGGATAAGGGAGGATAAATTATGGAAAAAAAGCAAGAAAGAGCAGTTTGGGCCAGGTAATGCTGGGTGGAAAAGGAGGAGCCAGGAATAACCGGGATGCTCCCAAGCAAGCTGTGTTTGCTGGGAGAAGGGTCACCCTGGCGGGACCGGAGCTGAGAGGTCCCTGACGTGGAAGTGCCCAAAAAGGCCAAACCAGCCCCAAACGCCAGTGCGCTGCTCCCGGTGGCAGCGGGTGACGCCTCGGGCTCGGGACATCCCCATGAGTCAGCAGGGAAGTCAGGGGCTCGGCAGCCAGCGCCTCCGCGCCTGGCCCCGTTTTATTGGGAACGCATCGGGAAGGGCGCGGGAAGGGGGGTGCGAGGAAGATCCCGGGGTGCCCGGCTCCGCTCCGACCCCTTCCCGTCGCGCGGCAGGAGGACGATCACAGCTACTACGTGTCGCGGAGCTACGGGCCGGGCGATGCGGCCGCCCGGCGCCTCTGGGGGGGCCCGGCCGCGGGC